TTTACACTTCCTTACTTTTTGGAGAACAAAAAAATGGAGATCAAAAAGTAAATAGAACCTAACATATAATAAAACAAATGCTGATGATTGGCTATCTTTGCCCTGACCAGCTACATTTTTTCTTACTTTAAAGAGTTTCATCATGGCAAGAACATAAAATACACAGCCAATTTTCCGCTTTGAATTCTGAGAAGATATAATTCTAATAAAAAAGGAACTACCATTCTTTCAGCTACTTACCTTTTCTATCTTGTAGACAGTTGGAGTTAAATAATAGAAATATCTAATTTTTCATTTCATTTTCATGATCTAATATTCAGCTACTTAGTGAACCTTCTCTGGCTTAAATGTGAGTACCAACAGAGAAGTATGCTGAATTTAACAACTCTCTTGCAGCCTTTGTGTGAATTTTTAATTGTATTTGATATAAAATACTTTGTGTAGAGTATAAAAAACCATTGTATTCCCCAGAATAATCTACCTGTTTATATGCAACACATGTACTCCATATTTGCTTTCAATTCTGTACTTTGTTGGGTCACTTGCAGGAGTAATCAATTCCTCATTTTTGTACCTGACAATCAAGAAAAAAAAAGAACTTATTAATAGCATGTACTATTCGCTGCATTAATTTAGTAGATTTTTACATCCAGATATCATTTACTATCATCAGAGCTCTCTATAAATCTTCTCTACATGCATAGAGTATTTTCCAGTATGTACAGATGGATACACATTGGGCAATGACAGCAAAGGAGGACCATCATTGCAGTAAGAAAGTGGAAAGAGAAGATGGGCACCCAAACCAAAAGAGCAGGCAGTGAAGTATAGAGAAGATGGCATGTGACTGGACCTTCCCAGGCCAGTAGCCCTGACACCAGATGGGAAGAAAACTTTGTCTTGTCTTGGATCACAGTAAAGCACTTCATCTCAAACAAGATAAGCAGCAACGGGATTGTGCCTCAGGTTAGATCTTCACAGTCCAGGCAGGGGCTCTCACATATACAGGACAGCACTTGTCTGGAGAGGAGGGCAGCCTGAGGGATGTTATGTTCATGTCCACCTCAACAGAGGCTGACACGATCTGAACACGGGTACAGCCCATGACAGCAATGGTGCTGTGCAAATTTACCCAGGCTTAGCAAGTAGCCTGTGAGCTCTGTGTACTCTGCTGTTTGCTACTTCATCATCAGGGAACTCAATGGCCAGAAAGACTGGCAAGTCTGCCACAGTCTGCCTTCTGAAATATTCGGGTTTGCTTCTCACACTGCGCAGGGCCATTCAGCAAGCTGCTATGCTCCCACTCCTTCCACTGTAGTATCAACTGCTACAATCCAGCACATCTATGGGGATTATAAAGGGGGTTTAACATAGCCATTATGTATGTGACACTTATCAGTTATGCCATAACTTCCACATGAAAAAAGCTTAACAACATTTTTAGAGGGCTAGGAAAGGCCAGTCCCTTACCATTGTACAACAGGGGTGGGAAATCCTTGCACAGTGAAGCAAAGACTCACAGACATCTTCTCCCAGACAGTGTGAGATCTCAGGCGCACTAGAATTTCAGGAGCTCGACTTATACTTTCCTCAACAGCGTGCCTTTCCAGAGCCATATTTTCTTCTACCTATTAAACACAGGAAAAGAAAAGGAGCATCTAGCACCAGACTCAAATGGAGTAGAAGATCTAACTTTCAATCCACAAAATTAAAAGATGCTAAGTCACTACTGGTATTTGAAACACAGGCCTAAATTTCAGTATATCTTATAATTCTGCTTGTATAGAAACAAAAAGGTTCAGCACTGTACCATCCTTTGTATAGCAAGTCTATCCAGATGTTCTCTAGCACGGTGCCTGGCTGTGTGAATCTCTTTTTCCAAAGCAGACAACTCACTGGCAAACCGGATCCTTTTCTCTTCACTTGCATGAGTCTTTTGTTCATGAGTCCTGTAAGACAATAAAAAATATAAGGTGAGACCAACAGATACAAAGCTTTAAGATTGTCACTTATACACATTAGGCAACTGAGGGCTCTGAAACCACATCAGCAAGATGTAAAATCTAGTTTAGGAATTATTCTTAGAGTCTACCTGCCTATCCTAATGAGCATGTGAAATGAATATGAATTTTCCTTCATTTTCTTTCCCCCTGTACGTGGTGCCATTGCTTCAGGTCTTGAAAGCTGGCATGGTCACATTGACATGGTACCCTACAGTCTTAGTCCTCTGATAATCAAGATCAAGAACCTGCCTGGCTTCCCTCTGGCCCCTAATTTTCCTTCCCATGGACACAAGCAGCCAGAGGAGTGAAGGCATGTTCTGGCATGCTCTAGTGCCTGGGAAGCTCTGCTAGCTCCTTGGGCTGTATCAGCTGACCTCACCTGAAAGATACAGACCAAAGAGTTCGTAAGGATTTGATGAACCGCTGCATGCAAAAAAGCGGTACTTTGACAGGGTGACTGGGAAGTATAATAGAAACTACCAGAAAAATACAAACTTTTGAGTAATTTGTGGGTTGTTCTCTGAAAATCTGACTCCATAGATTTTTCAGAAGTCCTAAAAAAAACTTGACTCAAATGTTTTTAGGATGAGTTAGCTCAAGTTCCTGCATGCATGCTGATTCAGTAAGCAGCCTATGCTACTCTGCCTTGCCAACAGGAACGAAGGAAGGGAGCTGGATATCAGAAATTTCTAACATGGTCGTCATTATACAACATGGAAAGACTCTTAAAGCATAACCCAACATGCCGTGAAGCAAATGAGAAGACTTGCATGAAATTCAGTGCACAGTAGATCAAGATATTATTTGTCTGGTATTTTAAAAAAATTTCATTGTATCATTTCAATATACTTTAGATACCAGCCTTGTTTTGCCATGTATTTTTTTATATCGGTAACACTTAAGACAGTTTTTAAAAAAAGAAATTAGATTATACAAATTAGTTTTGTTTCCCTAAGACATTCTGTTTGCAGGATACATATTTAAAAACAATCGAAGTATCAGAACTCTACAGACGTATATTATTTTCACAACACATGTTCTACAAACAAGGCAGAAATTGTTCTTTTAGTGTAAATTCTCTTTGGTGCAGTCACTGTAGAGCATGGCAGAGCAGAAACAGTCAAATTCACTAACAGGAATATTGCTGTCAGCACGTTTACTATAGGACTTCGTATCAAGGCTGTTACTGAGAAGTGACAGTAAGCCTTCTTGATATTAAGGAAAGGACTCAGAATGTTTAAATTGATCCAAACCAGAAATTCAGGAATAATTGAGTAGATCTGTTAAAAAGAGGTTTTGGATCCCAGGCAGATTCTAATTTATTTTGGTTTTAAAGCTGTTTTCAAGGGTCAGAGTGGGGATCAGGGGAACAAGTCTGGGTTGAAACATGAGATTGAAAGTGACACTCAGTCATTTAGTATTCCAGCCAAAATAGATTAGTGAAGAAGTGTGACAGAGAAGCCTCCAGTCTTGTCAACTTTGAAAAGAGCCCTGGCAAAAAGGCCATACTAAACGGGACCAGAGCCACTACACAGGTCAGATGGGACCAACAGATCTTTACCTTTTCCTGGATTCTTGCATTGCTTCATGAGCCAAGGTGCGTGCCCTCCTGGCACAGAGTCTACATGTTGTTTTTCCCAAGCCAGATGATTCATAATAAGCAGCCTGTCTGGAAGCAGCCCTTCAAATATAAAAGACATTGTTATAACCCAGCAATTCTGATGATAAAACATGAACTCACAAAAGTCAAAGAAATTACTTTAAATGAGCTGAATACCATGACTGAGCACTGTTCAGTGAGAAACCTACTTTGCATTCCTCACTAGCTGCACTAGGTGCTGATTCTCACTTGTCCTTCAAGGGCTTAATGCCCATCATCTGTCACTGGGGATCATTACGCATTTTATTTCATTCAGTTCTATTAAAGTTATACTTATCTCAGTCTCCAATCATTCAAGTGCTACAATAGCACTTCAGCGAACCACGAGGGTACCAGCCAGTCTAATACACAAATCACACAGAATCCCTATAACATTATCTATTTCTAAATAATTCTGCCTTTCTATACTTCATATAACCTTCTGCATAAACTCTCCTCTTTCATAAGGAAAGCTGGACAAGGTAGACAGCTAGCTAGGCTAGATAGGCATCTTGATTACCAAGGAGGGAGGACAGTGATTCTTAAGCAACCGAGATTCAAAGCTCCAGGCTTTGAGATACAAAGAACGTATATCTTGTTGCTAAAACTCTGAGATTTCACATGAGAGGAGTTAAATCTTTATTTAATTTTTAAAAAGCAAATTGAATGACAAAAACTATAATTAGGAATGGCCAGCTTCAGGAGAAGGAATATCCTCATATCATATGGAAGAATGGGTAAAAAACTGTTTCTATGATTTACAATAAATTCATGCCAATTTCTCCTAAGTCAGAGTTTCAATTGGAACCTAAAAGGAAGAATTTCCAACTTGGAAGTAGTAAATAGGACAAATCCTGAGCTAAAATGTCTGTGCAGGTGAGTTGCAATGTAGATAGAAAGTCTAGTTATGCTGGTGGGAGACTATAGACAAGGAGCATCCCAATGGAAGTAAGTAGAAAACTACCATTCTGAATAAACCACAATTTTAGGGGGCGGAGAGGGAAGCTAAGTATCTCGATTCTAAGACCTGATTACCCAAAATAGAAACCTCTCTATGCTCCTTATGTGAAATGCATGACACTTACTTTCTTGCTGCATATTCCTCAAGTACATATCTTGTCTGAATGTTGCGATAGGACTGATCAAAGTGCTTGTGTCTCCTCTGGTAAAATGGCACCACTACTGATGACATACTTCAGTTTGTTAGATTCAGTAATTCCTGCAGACAGTGAAATCACATTTAGCCACGTATTCCAGACACTTATGTTCTATATTTTTATATACATACACATATGTGTGTACATGTACATATGTATAAAATTCCATCAGTTTATGACAAATAGAGCCATCAATGATACACATCAATGATATACATGGGCACTTCAGGATGTATTTTATTAGCCACACAGTGAGCCATGGAATCATAGATGATAAAGCTAGAAGAGAATTTGTCGGATCATTTTCTCCTTCTTTGCAGATGTCATTTAACATCTCCCTGGAAATTTCCAGGGATCAAAATTTGACATCTTGGGGGCATTTTTATGCGTTTCAGCTCTTTGCTCTTCAAACCTTTTACTTTGTCCCTTGTTGCAATTTATGCTCACTGTTTCTTGTCCAATTCACCATGACAACAAAAATTAGACTGTGTTCACCCACTTTTGCAGCAGTCTGTTGAAGATTTTGTTTGCATATCCTTTCAGCTTTCTTGTTTAAACTAATCAAAGATGGCTCATCCAGTCTTTTCTCATGAGTTATTTTTTCTAGACCTCCAATCATTCTGGTTGCCCTCCTGTGCACTTTCTCCAAAGCATGGCATAGTTTGATCAGTATTTGGGTAGGAGGTTCTCAGGAATGTTCAGAGAGCTCCCAGAAGCAGCATGGGTGGGAAGAGCACATTTACCACTGAGTTGGAGTTGAGCAATTTCCCAACCATGGCAATAAAAGAACCTGGAGGTGCCCACATCCCTATAGGTTCATTAGAAATATGATGACAACTTCTTGAAAAAGTGGGGAATGTTGCCAGCCATGTCCTGAATAGGTGCCAGTTTGTGGAACTACAGTCTGCTGAAAAAGTCCCATTTACAGTCTCGTCTGGATGTGGGGCTCTTTACTCCTGGGCCACTTGTCCTAAATGGTGGTGGGGGATTCCAGGGGGCAACTGAACAGCCAGCATAATCCCCAAGAGATGGCTGTACTTCAGTGACAAAGGAAGCAATTTCCTAATGCAAAAAAAGCATAAAGCAGCTTGGATCCTGAAGTTTTCAATATCAGACAAATTCCTGCAATAAGATACAATTTCCTCCTGGAAGGTAAGGGCAGTGTCCCCGTTGTATACTATCGTGCGGGGCAGAGCCTGTCAGCTGCACTCCAGAAGCTGGGGCACAGGCAGAAGCATGGCCTGGGACTCACCTCAGGCTACCCCTGAAGAACACTAGCTCATCCAGGGGCCCTGTTAAGAGGGTGTCAGGGTCCTGGGGCTGCAATGGACCTGGCTGGCCCTGCTCAGCCTCCTCCAGAGCTCTCCCCACCCTGCCCATGGCCCAGGACCCCATTTCAGCCCCTGGGGCCATCAGCCCTGCCCCAGCAATGCTGCAGCAGGGTCGGTCTCCAGCTCCCCACAGCCCTGCCCTGCCCGGCCAAGGGTCCTGCCAAGAAGAACCTGCCCGTGAGATGGAAGAAATCCTCAGACCCACACCAAAAGTCTGCATTTGTCAGGAAAAGTCCCATAAGTAGGCAGCCTCGTGATGCATATAAAATGAAAGCTCAAAGGGATTTGAATAGAAATCTTATAAACTCATTTAGATACAACATGAGCTCCTCTTACTTAATTTCAAAGGCACTGGTATTGACCAGGTTTAGGCTGTGTTCTGTTTCCTATCATCAAATACTTGGAGATATGTGCTTTGGGGACAAAACCAATACTCATTAAAATTCAATTAATTACTGTTTCAGGAAAAAAGTTGTTTCTGGTAAAATGAGATCTAGTTAAAAAATGAAGAAATTTAGTCACTACTTCATTGTCAACTTTCAAATTGCATGTTATTTTTTTGGTTTCATTAATCTTTTTACTGTGTGACAAGTACATGCAATCAATGTACTTTAATAAAATATTGCTGAAAATAGGTTTTTAAATGTTTATTACTTATTCTGAAAGCAATGATGTTTTCTGTCACATAATGGAATTTTTATTAATATCTCATGTTTTGAAAAATCATTTTGCAAATCCCCATTTGAGAATGGGAAGCAATGATAAAGCTGTTGAAAAATTACAGATATTATCAAGACTTTTGCATGAATTTTTAAAGTATGACTTGTTAAAGTTTTTTTCTAATTGTATTACTAGCCAAATTGTATATGCAGAATAAATAATTTTCTACATTTCATTGCAGCAATTTGTTCTTGAAAAATGAGACCTAGATTTTTTATACAACACATTATATTTTTAGAAAGAAGAATGTAAGATGATTCAATGAAAGACTGCAACTCTTAGTTTAGCAAGTCACTTCCTTTTATGTGTGTGTTTGGAAATTTTGCCTGAACTGCATAAAATAAAACCCAAATTAATTAAAAAAACCCCATGTCTTCTAGGCTAAGAAATTGAACTTCTAAACATGGTAAAATACATGTATATACCATATTTCTAGCATATAATATTTACCAACAATAGGAAATGCTACTTATTAAGTAGTATAATAAATTCCAGCTGTGCTTGATTGTTAGTTTCAGATATTCAAAACCTGACTCAGATGCCCCCGTCACGATGTTCTCCCACCAGCTAGTTTTACTTTTCCAAGAAAAAGGTCTCTGCGGGAGAAGACAGTAGCTATTTTTAATAGTGATACATCTTATAAAAAAAAGTTATGAGATCTAAAGATTTTTTACAATTTATCACCTGATAGCTTCATCTTCTGCAAAACCTGTAGTTACCTTTTCAATCCTTTTTCAAGAGATATGAGAATGACAAATCACACATTCAGGAATGAGAGCTTTAGGCAAAATACCAGATACTGCAAGACAAAAATAAAATGGGCTTACAATATTACTATGAGACATTAAAGAAATATCATAGAATCATAGAATGGTTTGGGTTGGAAGGGACCTCAAAGATCATCTAGTTCCAACCCCCCTGCCATGGGCAGGGACACCCTCCACTAGACCACATTGCCCAAAGACCCATCCAACCTGGCCTTGAACACTTCCAGGGAGGGGACATCCACAACTTCTCTGGGCAACCTGTTCCAGTGCCTCACCACCCTCACAGTGAAGAATTCCTTTCTAACATCTAATCTAAATCGATCCTCCTTCAGCTTAAACCCGTTACCCCTTGTCCTGTCACTACACTCCCTCATAAACAGTCCCTCACCATCTTTCCTGTAGGCCCCTTCAGGTACTGGTAAGCCACAATTAGATCTCCCCGGAGCCGCCTTTTCTCCAGGCTGAACAACCCCAACTCTCTCAGCCTGTCCTCATAGGAGAGGTGCTCCAGCCCTCTGATCAGCTTCGTGGCCCTCCTCTGGACTCACTTCACCAGCTCCATGTCTTTCTTGTACAGATATATTACCACGTTTCTAAAGAAATAAGTGAACATGACCCAAGGTAGTACAGTGTGATGCAGCACCTTGTAGAGATGCTAGCTCAGTGAGGTGCCCTCATGCAACACTGAACTGACATGGACCTATTAACTCTTCATATGACACATTGCCTTAGTTACATGAACACAGTTACACAGACCCACAAGCAGCCTTGACTTCTCCTAGTTTTGGTATCTGTGCATGTCATTACGCTATACCTGCAGACATCAAATACTGGTTTTCTTCCTGCTGTCTGTGTCACTATTGTGTATATGACATTTGACTTCCCCCTTAGCTCATACACTAACTGGACAGTTAATGGTATAATGTTCCCTCTTTTCTATTTTTAATTAGCCCTTTCACTTAAATAAAGGTGCAAAGGGCAAACCCATAGATTAAGCTGACTCAGCTGTTAAGTGCTACTCATGTTTACATGTGGCCCAGTTAAATAATTCTGTGAATTTATCAACATGCAATTTATGCGTTGCTATGTATAAAACTCCCACTGAGATCTGACGTATAAGGGTTGCAGAGTAATGCCCATGTGTCTGGATGGATCACAGTCTGGGTTATTTTCATTTTTGAAATAGGAGAAAACATCTTTGCCATTTACAGTTCAGCCTTTTCCACTAAATGTAAAACTTACATTTAATTAGCATGTATTCTTCTATTAATCAGCACCCAGGGTTTCTCAAAATTTGGGTTCAGATATTTTTCACATTTACCCAAACACTCTTAGAATAGAAACAAGTGTAGCCAACCACTCACAGCCCCCATACAAGCAATTAACTGAGCTTGTTAGCAGCCAGACTCATTTTGCCTTCTGTTAACACAGAGGGGAGCTACCTGGCAACAATTCCAAATGTAATAATCATCATCAGTTAATTACAATGATGCTTGCAGAGTATGTATTTAATACTTAACAGCGCTGCAAAGACAAGTATCTGAAGAGTAAAATCACAGCCCCACTGTAAAACCAGCTTCAGCAGAGTCTACAGAGCGTGTACGGTATCTTGAGTTCATGATAAGAGAAGGTTCTGTTGTCTGCCCAGGAACAATGTGTTGACTGTTTTCCCAGTTTTCCACTGATACACATTTATGTGAGAGGTTTGAAATATATACTAATATTTAGTCAACCTACCACTAACAGAGTTAGATAATATGATACACAGAGGACAGCCTAGCCCCACTGAAGTTATGGATTTAGGTGAATCAAGATTTTATAACTGGCAGTGGCTGGAGAACTAATTATAATGGCATGTCAATTCGTGGAACTCACCCACCCAACAGCAAGATGCAGGCAGTGGTCTGGCAGAGGCATTGGGGAAAGAAAAACATTTTCCAATGGGAAATTGAAAATTCAAAAAAACCATGCAGAAATAGGTCAAGAGAAAGACAAAATAATTTTCTGGATGATTGTAACAAATTAAAAAGCAAATCTCAAGTTTTATTCACCAAGCGCTACTGGTATGTGCTGCAAGAGTTACAGAAAACTTGCTGAAATACATGGCCCATGTGTCAAAAACAACCCTTGGACTTCATCCATGCAGATCCTATTAACTTCCCTGGATTTCAAGAAAAAGACCTAGAGTTACAGGACAAGATGGTCCTAAAACACTTAATGTCTCATCTGACCTTTACTTCTTTGGTGGAACACAGCACAATTGTTGTTGCTGTTGTTGTTATTATTATTATTACTATTACTATTCCTGTTTATTTCTATGACTGTAAATGCTGCGGACATCAGCAGGACCTAAACTGTACTAACCTATGTTCTGTGTGAGCCACTCAGAAGGCTATTAAACCCAAATAAAAATATTAAGTCAGCCAAAATGTCCTTAAGGATTAATGATATAAACCAGAAATTAATTAGACTGGTCAAATCTGTTTACACAAATATACATTTTTGTATGCTTAGTAGCACGTATATAACAATTTATATTTGGTCATGAATAAAAGGCAAAGTTCCTAGGCAGGCCAGGATATGCATAGTTTCATGCCATAGTAATACTGATCTGAATAGAAAGCAATCATCTAGAACCACGTGACAAGGGGCCACGTTCCTGAGCAGAGAAGCCAAGGGTCTGATATAGACATTGTTAGTTTGATAAGTGAGTTAATTTAAGATTTAAAGGACAGGCAGTAAATTCTAACATGATCATTGACACAGCCTCAGAGAGCAGGCACACCACCAAATAAATTGATGGATGGGATTGACAAATGCCATGGGAAGGAGAACATGGTTGTGCTCACCATAGATAGCCAACTTGCATTCCTAGACTCAGGAGGATCCCGTCATGAGCGATGCACTATACAGCATGTACTTTCTCTGCCTGACCTGTCAATGCTATACCATGCAACATGCACTTTCTTTGCTCATCTCTGTCCTTGTCCATCTGCAGAAGTGCCAAAAATGATTTGCAGGTGCTTGCCTGCCCTCACATAGCCTGTCCTCCTCATTCTGGCTAAAAGATCAGTACATCCTGCTCCTACACACATATCCTCATTGTTCATCTTCCTCTGTATTTCATCTTTCTTAAATATCTTTGACTATTTGTATTGACTTGAGGGTTTGTCCTGTTTCTCCCATGAAGGAGCCATTGTTTCCTCTACCTGTCTGTAGTTCTGCTTGTTGTTCTCCATGTTGTTCAAAATTAAGTGTTTTTAGGAAGTCCTGTTTTGCCAGCTTATATTTCCATGGTACATTAAAGCCCATGATATTTAGATGATAAAATATATTTAATTCCATACCACCTATATTCCATAATGAAAGATAAAAGAAACAAACAAACAAACAAACCCCACCACCTTCTAATCATCACTTGCTTCTAATGACCAGTCTAAAGAATTACCGTATGTCCTCAGAAAACATGTGGTCCTTTCCAGATGGTTATATCAATACTGTAGAAATTGTAGTAGATGATAATAAAGTAAGAACAATTTCCCCTGGGAAACTTACTTTGGTGGAAATCTTGAAAAACCAGAATGAATCATTATGCAGCTTATAGTCACTGCAGTCTAAACCTGAATGGGATGTAGAGGGTCTGGTAACATCTTCCTCATTTTGGTAATAAATTTTTAAAATGCTAATACATCTCTCCAGTCTTTTATTTCTGTGTGCGTATCTGTGTTTAGATCTTACACAGAACATTATGTTCTGTGTATGAAAAAGCATGAACTTAAAAAAACACACAATCTACTGTCATTTTAAGATGCTTCTGTCTTTCCTATTGAAGAGGTTTTTTCCTTCTGCATAATAAGAATTCAATTTTAACTTTTTTGGCAACAGAATACAAATGCTTCTGAAATTAAAAAAGCATATAAAATTCCCATTTGCTTAAACCCTATGGAATTCCAGACATTGCTCAACAAGCTTTGACATTCCTTTTCTTTTCTGATGTCCTTAGCTACATCATAGCTGGTCTTGTTTTACTGATTGTACCTCCTTTGTATGGGAATAGTACTATTCTAGTTTCACAAATCAGTTTTCAACAGAAATCTTGCAGACAACAAGTTCAATCTGGTTCAAATCATCCCTAGAACTACATGCATTACTTTTCTCATTAAACCTAAAAATGGAGTTGTCTCATCAATTTCTATTCATATGAATATCCAGCAAAGCAACATTTTCAAGCAGCTGATGATACAGGCCATCACAGATTTGTCTGTCCTTTATTAATAATTTCATATATTTTGAATGAGTAGACTTCTAACATTTCACTACATCAAGTGATTCTGCTTGCAAAGACATACAGGTAGATCAAGCAGTTTAATGCAAATATTTAGCTATAGCACATGTATGATTAGTTAGAATGCACACCTTGACCTTGTAATAGTCCCTGAATTATTTGCTTCACCTTCTAGCCATAACAGTTAGCGTGGAGACAATTTGAAATATACCATGGGTGGTCATGGTCATAGCCACAACCCTTGATGGAGTTAACCACCAGCATTGCCCTGTGGCAAGTACATAGAAGGCAGAGCCATGGGTACCCTTCCCTCCAGCAAGGTCATTGTTGTGGAGGGGACCACCAGTTCCTGCATTGTTGTGAGGCTAAAAAAATGTAATTTTGGCTTTTCTGTGACTCTCGTGATGGAAGGGAGTAGAAGCCTCCAATCTGACTTACCTTGCCATATCCCTGTTACAAGTTAAGCAGTATATAGCCCAGAGAGGGTACTTATGTAGATGCTTTCTTATGAATTCATGATCTTACATGACTGAGAATTAAATGAGGCTGAATTTGTCCACATTGACTTGAAACTTTGTCATCCTAACATTCCAAATGCACAAAGAGTTGCAACATGTTCCGATAAAGTTTTAAGATTTCCCTTCACCTGGCAAGTGCACTACATCCCTTCAACTGGACAGCAAGGAATGTGAGACAGTGAGATGGTGAAAGTCAGTCATTTTCCATCATCCCAACCTTCTTTATCCTTCATTACAATACTTTGTAATACATTGGCTCACAGGTATTATCAACACACAGGCTTAGTTTCAAGAGCATGACCATGATTTCCCAATACTCTACCAGTGGTATTTAGCTGGAATTTCCATGCGGCACAGAACACATCACACATAGCCTAGAGCAACGCAGACACCAGAAATGTGGCTTCTGAAGATGTACTAGAAAGTGTGGTAGACAAAAAATAAAAGCAGAATTTTTTGTCCTAGCTACATCCTGTTCTTTAGCATGCCAAATAGTTTTGCCAGCTACTATAGGATTTTACACTTAATTATTTACGCACATACTTCAGCTAAATCATGTTTTGTCTCTTTATACAGTATAAAGATGCAAGAAAGTGGCATTGCCAACATATGTCCAATTGGAGAAACACATATACTAATAGAACTATGGATACGTATAATGTAGTTTTTCATAAGCAGAAAGAAACAAAGGAAATGTAATACACAATAAAATCAAACTGACTGCACAGAATAAAACAATTCTACTTTTATTTTTTGTCTGTTCATAAATCAGTCTGTGTCCTGCTTATTGCTTGTTTTCCCTGAGAAAGGTAATTTATTTTTTACAGAAAAGCACCCAACATCCTCCACAACCACTCCCATTTATTCTGAATAAGAAAAACCTAGAGGAAAAATGGACTTACCAAGGGATATAGAAAAATTGCAAAGCAGAGGAGAAGACCAGCCTTTCCCAGCTTAGTAAACTCTGACTGAGGAAAAAAAAATAATTCCCCTCTCTAAAGGCTACTGCCCCTTCGCTCCCATTTAAGGGCAGATGCAATGCTATATTTAGAACTAACCAAGTGATTCTCCCAAAACTGAGGTCAGCCTAATAGGCAATAATGGTGTGACATAAAGGTAGAAGAAAACACCTACCCCATATGCAGTTTTCTACTGTATTTTAATACAAGATAGATCTCATTCTTAAACAAAAGCTTATGTTTATCTTAAAAGTGGGGTTTCTTTTCCCAGCATCGAGAAGCACATGGGAAACAGTTTAATGTCAGAAAACAGTTTAAACTTTTTATATAGAAATTATTGAAGCTTTAAAATAATCAGTAACTTAGAAGACCATTGAGGAGACATAAAGTCCAGGATCACACTAGTCGAAAAGTGAGATCCCCTTGGTGCCTCAGGCTGTAAAATGAGCCTCCCCGTTGCCTCCTTAAGAGCTGCCTGGATTTGACAGCATGGCTGCAATATGTGAAGGCATAGCAACTATATAAATAGCCTATTAACATAGATTTAAAGAAAGTCCAGTTCCTACCCACTATTTCCATCTCCGTAATGTCACCAGTCAACCTGAGAGAGATTTCTCTGTGTCCTGTAGGTAAAATAGGATGAATTAATACGCATAGAGGCATAGACAGGCAGAGGAAAAAACACAACCAAAGCACTCCACTCTGTGAGACCCTGATGGCCCCTGATTACTACCAACTAAAATGGAAGTTTGGTGCCTATAGGGCTCCTAGATTTCTATCCAGAAGCTCCAAGGTATCGTTGTGGTGGCTCTGACATTTCCAGATGCAATGGGGTAGCAGCACTTGCTCTGCAGAGGTGGTGGGCATGGGCTCAGTCACTCTGCCCCAGGGAAGGGAAGGGAAGGGAAGGGAAGGGAAGGGAAGGGAAGGGAAGGGAAGGGAAGGGAAGGGAAGGGAAGGGCTCTGACAAGGCTTTGTGACGAGTGTGAAGAAATAATCACATTCCTCTTATTCTGCCTGGAAATAAGGACAACATGTCTGGGAAAACCTGGCTATATGACAAACCTAATCAAACCTCATGACTTGGCCCATAATGACTCAAATATCCAGTGAGTCAGCAACGTACAGTAAGTAGGGAATTCGTTGATATTCAAAGTACTTGAAAACAAAAAGATCTGTTTTCAATTTACTTGTATATGAATGAGGTCAAGACCAAAGTCACTAAGTGACAATTAAGATCTTTCAGTGCTCGGTATGAGAAACTTTGATGGATAAAAAACACTCTTTTATGTCATACTTTCTTCTTATGCAAACATGTATGGGAAGCAGAGCAATATGTGGAAAAGCCCTTAAACAAGTGATTCTTATTGCATCTGCAGTCTTCATCCAATTTTCCTAAGTAGCTCTGGTAAGGATCCTTCCCAGTTTCTTATAATCTACGACTACGATTTGCTTGACACAGACTTCTCCCTTCCTCCCATCGATCTTAAATTATAACTCAGTCTGACAGAATTAGATCTACAGAGACAGACACAGTGGAACGAGTGCATATGCACTGAGCAGAGATGTTGCTTCAGAAGCAGCTGTCAAAGTAATTAGCATGTAATAATCCAGAGCAAACCCACTTTACTTACACAGCTCCCTCTCTTCTCTCCTACTGCATTTTCCTGTGGGACGTAAGAGGTCGGTTTTCAGGAAAACTATAAAGTTCTCATTACACTGTCTGCTTTTAATTTCTTGTTCTATATTTATTATCTTTAAAGAAATGTAGGAATGTACAGCCTGCTCTGTCTGCCTTTACACTTGAGCTCTCTTCTATTTTAAGGTCTTTCTTCAGGGTGTGTGGTTGGATGTCAAAAATGTGAAAGTGCATCCTAGGGCTGTAAGGAACATGCCATAGGCAAGAACAAGGCATGCAGTGGGGCCAGTCCCAGTTTGTCTCCAGGTAAGTTAATAAATAAATTCTCCTTCTCTTCACAGATATTCACAAAATAGGACATAAGAGAAAAACTGCAATATAGTGTTACTTGATGGTTTTGAAATTTAGGCAGCAGAGCACCAAAAATTATCCAGAATTCTATTTGTAAAATAATTTACATTGCATTCTCATACTTCCTCCCTCACACTGAAGGGGTCTTCCCCTGATTCCTCCACTTCCCAAATAGAAGTTCTTCCCTAAGAGGTGTTTTTTTAAAGCAGAGATTTAGCAGGGTATCAAAAGGATTATTCAAGCACTTAAAACTGAGCATGTGCTAAAATCCTTTCATGAATGTGGTATTTTAGAATTACCTCTTTATCTTATAGCAGTCCCTTGATGTGGGTTGTTTAATTGATACAGGCTTAAGTAATGGCTCAACTACTCCCATAAAGGGGAAGATGAAGACCTGATATGAAGCTCAGAAAAAAGATGCATTAGCTTTTTAGTTACTGGAGAAAACATCAAAACTGTAATGAAATGAAATGTAATGATGTTAGAAGAGTTATGGTTTTAGCCTGTAAGGGTGACTTAACAGTGGCTTTGTGCTTTTAGCTTTCTCCAGTTCCAAGAAAACCTAATGTATCTTTGTATGGCAGCTTCTGAAGTCTGACTTTATTAATGTTAGCGTTTGATTTCTTCAAATGCTTGTAGCATATTTATAGTTTCATATAAATTAAAAGATTGGTAACTAGCAATGAAGTTCCTCATCTCTACAGCAGTCCTAATTATTTGCAAAGCCCTGTGGTAAGCTTTCTGAAGCCACGCTAGAAACATGGATACTGTGCACTGGCAATCCTAGAGCAGTCTCTTGGATTTCCTTCACAGCTATCCAGGTCCTAGCATCTCCCTTGGCATTGCAAATGACAGACAAAATAATGCATGCAAATTCAACCATATGAAAAATAAATTGTGCTCTTTCTTCAGTTACTGCCTTTGGTCAGAAGCTCAGGATCATCAAGTATGGGGTCCATACACGTACCAAATAGAATGTGCCTTATTCAAGAGAGAATACCACCACCTGAAAGACTTAATTAAAAAAACGTTTTGGAGGCAGTGCACCTGCTTACGATGATTAGCTAACAAGGGAGCAGCAACAGATGCACTTGACTGTTGACAGCACTATAAACCTGTTCACACAGCTGAGCACAAATCCTCAAGGGAAAACACACCTGACTGCCTCTTTCAGCTGGGAAGAGAAAACCCCATCCCAGCTCCTCAGATTCTTGAATCTCTCTGCCTCCTGCTTTCTGCTTATTTTCACTTTTCTTGATGCAGTTTCTCTTCCTCTACTAGAACGTTTTTTTTCCTCTTTCAGTGCCCAACCTGCAAGTATTTTTAAGGCTGGCTACATGCAGCTGCACACTGCTGAAAGCTAGAACTACCCCTCCCAGAAATGAGGATAGGCTGTGTGGAGAGGAGATCGTGAGAGAGCCAAGACGTTTGGAGGAGGAAAAGAAGGAGGCACATGTAACCAAGGAAAGGCTGTGCACTGCCTGGAGAGGGGACAATGGCAGCTGCAAAAATACACGGGCTACAAGCTGTTTTAAACAGCCAGACAAGGATTTTCAACTGACAATTCAACAGATCTAGACTGAACTGCATCCAGTAAATCAGACACTTCTATTGTGAGCCTTTGAACAAATGCTAAAATACCTGAATATACAAAATGTTGGTATTTTTTTCCCTGTAACATAAGATAAAGTGAATCTCTTAGTAAGTATCCTTATTTATATGTAAGAAGACAAACGTGCCACTGAGTTACAGTGAGTCAATCATTTATAGGATATTTAAGCGGTACTGTGTCACACTGCTGTCCAAGGACCCGCTCTGGAGCACATCAGAGTCAGCAGTAAGGTTTTACTGACTCAGGAAAGCTCTGATTCATATCCTTCTTGATTTAATGCCTCTTTAAAAAGTTGACAGAGGGTTAGCTCAAACACAAACAGAAAATACAGGGTTGCCTGGTGCAACAGAATGTTTCAACTACTTATTTTGTGAGTTACTGCAAGTGGCAACAAGAGTATATTTTCCATTGCTTTGGACAGCATAAAATACTCTAGAGCTGGTAGCAGGATGACAGGGATACTTTAAAATTGGGGCTTCAGCCAGTGGGATTGCTTAGCTAAATATGTTTTGCTAAATTTTAGGGTGAGCCAAGAAAATTACAGTTTCTCTCCAGTGACGTGAAGTTACAGCTCAGATTTCAAATATTGTTGGGTTTTTTTAATTTAATCAAATCTTTTGGAAGTGTTTCTGATAAAGCTTAATGAAAACAACAGCTCTTACTGCAGTTTACTAACTGTAGTTAGTTAGACAAACCATACCACAGGAGTATATCAACTCAATGGCAGCTCTTCATTTACCATTACGATTAGATCTAATTTTCAACCAAGTGCAAAGAGAAGGGCCGTAATGATTTTTGTATTACCCTGTTATATTTATTCAAGTGTCACAAAATATGCTCTGCAGAGATCTGCTGCAGCAACAGTCATTTCTGTTAACTAATCTCAATGTCAGCAACAACAGATGAAATGTAGACACAACACAGGTTGTAAGAGAACAGAGACAGGAACAAGTTACACACAGTCATGTGGCCCAGAGGCTTCACCACCCAGGGGAACGCAGGTGAGACAGCTACAGTCCCAAATCTACCACTGGGTAGCACTGTGCAAAGTTTATTTTAATGCCTTCAGGCTTTAGTAGCTGCCAGCTGTGGGGGGGTACTGCTGCGCTAACAGCACCTACATACCGGGCTCACACCAGAGAGAAGCACAGACAGCCCAGCCACAGAATCACAGAATGGTTGAGGTTGGAAGGGACATCTGAAGGTCATCTTGTCCAGCCCACCTGCTCAAGCGGGGCCACCTAGAGCCAGTTACCCAGAACCATGTCTAGATGGCTTCTGAATATCTCCTAGGATGGAGGCCACACAATGTCTCTGGGTAACCTGTGCCAGTGCTTGTCACCCTCACAGTAAAAAAGGGTTTCCTGATATTCAGAACCTCCTGTGTTTCAGTCTGTGTCCAACATCTCCGGTCCTGTCCGCTCCTCTTCTTGGAGGGACTGAAGGTCACTAGTGCAGACACACACACAACTCTCCCCAGGTTCACAAGCACACACACATATGCTGTCTGGTCCCCTACTCTCTTTCTGGTCCAGATCGTGCACACACTCATATGCTCATCTCACAGGCACCCCACACCCTCGGGTCCCCCCCGATACCTACATGTAGGTATGCAGGTGTGCCTACACCCCCAGTCTGACTCCAGTAGCTGGCACCCAGCCCACCCGTGCCAGTGCCCCCAGTAGCTGCCACTCAGTCCATGCAGCTCACACAGGGCGGGGGGCGAGATCATAGAGAGAGACAGTTAAGAAAGGATTTA